AACTGCAGCCGGAATCAGATGACTAGCGCTGGAGGAGCACGAGGATTTTTCCAGCTTCCCGTCGGCGCAGTGGAACTCCCTTGAACGGCGAATAGATCCGGATCAAGCAGGAAAAGTGGAAGTCTTTTACCCACGCCCAAGGAAACGAAGCAAATAGTGTTTGTAGTGTGTTGATGTATCTGTGTGCAATATGAACACCATCAACATATCTCAAGCTGCCTTTAGGTTCAATCGGCTAAACTTGGTGAGTTCGTTCCTTTTTGTTCATTATATCTTTTCAATCCAGTAACGATCATAATCTACCACACCTTTTCCTGTTGTGTTACTGGAACAAAATTTTCACCGAACTCTAGTACTGAACAGGAGGGGAACAGGAGGTTTCAGTGAGAAGGGGAACGCACTTTAAACCTTGTTATTTTTAATGGCTTGTTAATAGTGACAAGACTCGAGTATGTAGTTGTTGGTGCTGCCATGGTGATTGTATTTGGTGAGCTTGTTACAATTAAAAACAACCCGTTTGTTTCCTGCCGGGATAACCTCAATCGCGCATGATCTATTTTGCGAGTGCAAGAACATAGTTGGGTCTGGGGGGGGGGGGGGGGGGACATTAGGATTTATCCCAGGCTACACACTTAGAAATTATCGCCGACTTCGGTAATTTTTACCGAAATCTGAACAACTGAACTTTTCGGTAAAATTTATGCAATTCAATTCAATTGCTTTTTAGCTACTTTGGAACTACAGGTCGGACTCGATTATCCGGATACTCGATTATGCGGAGACTCGATTATCCGGGATTCGATTATCCGGAATTTTAGACTCGATTATCCGGAGTATTTTTTTTTTTTTTTTTTTTTTTTTTTGGTTAAAAACTTATAAAATAATAATAATAATATAAATGCAGACATTTGAAATAATTTTGTATTATAATATGCAATATGATAATTTTAACAATCGTTAAGAGATTATCCGGAAGATTTGATTATCCGGAGTGTAAAAAAAAATTGATACTCCGGATAATCGAGTCCGACCTGTAAATCTCCACTAAAATAACAAGATTTAATCTTTTAAACAAGGTTGAACATGTTTTGATATTATTTTCAAATTCAATAGGCTTTAAAATGAAGGTCAAAGTTTTACCGAACGTTCAGCTGTTCTGATTTCGGTAAAATTTACCGAACACGGAAACAAAATCTTAGTGTGTACTATTGTAGAAAATCGTAATTAATAGATATTGGGCGGAACGCGTTGGAAGGTTTAGAAAAATAGGGCGCCCGCTTGATCCAGTTTGGGATACATTGATGACTGCTTTCGGGAACGTGATTTGACTTGTTTAACCAGGGCTTAACAATCGTCACGTCGGTCATAGCTTGTTATGATAGACTGAACAAATGATAAGACAATCTTATTCAAATGTCATAATAATACCTCTGACCAAGGCAAAATTATTACTATGGTTTTTATTAAACTTGACGATACCAATACTAATAAGGAAAGGAATTTCACATTTCCTTATCCCAAGTCCTTTTCCTCTCCTTCCCTTCACTTCTTCTCTTTTCAGAAAGCGAGTAATGGCGCTATAACCATATGCCATATAGGGCTAGGACAAGAGTTAGTGCTCATGTCCCAACCGCTAGAAGAAAATGGAGCATCACTTACCCTTTTTAGACTAGATGCTCCCAACGACAAATGATTTATAAATAACAATACAATGGAACGTATGGTACGAGATGTCCACGTTTCATCCATTTATTGGATTCTGAAGCATCGTGCTTAAATCTTGGATTTAAACAGGCCCGATGTTTCTAAATCATCTTGCCCCTCAAATGCTGCACAGTAGGCCTGTCCGTTTTGATATATTTTGCGCATCTATGATGTGCAACATATACCAAATAGGAAAAAAAAGTGATGAAGGTATATCTATCATTTTCCAGGATGCTTTCATGAACTGGCTATGTTGGTGTTAGATTAGATTAGATTAGATTAGATTAGATTAGATTCAGTCTGCTGTGAAATTTAGGAGAAATTGCATTTTTTAAATCACAAACTAATTTAAAATCAACAACGCTTGAGCGTGACCGATGCGAGTCTGTGAACACTGAGTATTCAATAGCCGTATGAAATTTTTAATTCTTCCATAATGGAACTGCTGCTTCTACAATACAAAAATCTTCTGAACAAGTAGTAAACATAAAATCCAGATAGGAATTGAGCTGGTTACGAACATGGTTAATTTGATGAAGTCCTAAGTGGCTGCTTTCATCAAAGATGAATTGCAAAGTATCGTTTTCACCTACTATTGGTAACAGCAGAGAATCATTACTATATTACTATCCTCTATAAAATTAACAGTATTCTGGTTAAAATCTCCATAAATATGAATTTGGATTTTTGAATCTTCTCTTTGAATTTTCAGTTCTGCAGTAGTGAAAAACTTTTCATAAGCTGGTTTTTTGGAAAAGTGTGAAGGAAAGTAGACAGAAGCGAAAATATCTTCACCGTTTATTAAAATTTCAACCCACATATCTTCCAATTCTTTTGGTCTTTCACTAGCGATTTGTTCAGCTTGAAGTGTAGCATTCATAGCTATAAGTACAACACTACCTGTTTTTTACCTGATAATGATAAATCGCGGTCACATCCAAGGAAAAATGATTTATATAGTTTTCATAAAAGTTGACGATACAAATACTAATGAGGAAAGGAATTCCGCATTTCCTTTTCCCAAGTCCTTTTCCTCTCCTTCCCTTCCCTTCTTCTCTTTTCAGAAAGCGAGTAATGGCGCTATAACCATATGCCATATAGGGCTAGGACAAGAGTTAGTGCTCAGGTCCCAACCGCTAGAAGAAAATGGTAGCGAGCAAGGGCGCTATAACCTAGGCAAATACAGCATTCCCTCCGTATAGGTTACGTCCGCACACCGCTCTCTGTTGTCCTTCGACTGAGGTCGGCTGGATCGATTGAGGGATGGCAGTGGGTTGGCGGTGCCGTCCACGCTTGTACGGAGGGAGGACTGTACGCTCGAACACAAGGGGTAAATACCTGTGTTCCATCCCAGGAGATCGGACAACCAAGGAGTGTACATTAACTTTCTTAGCTCTGTCACTCCCAACGATTTATATAGCCTATTTTCAAATCCTGCATACGGAGCGGTTGGTACGGTATGTCCCCGCTCTTTGATTACCTGTGGATTAAATGTTAACCACTGTCTATACTTATTAAGTAGACATGGTAAACATTCACTTCCACAAAAATTAACTAAACGCTACACAGTAGGCCTGGCCGCTTTATTGTTTGTTTCACATCCTTGATGTGCAGCAGGCATTAATAATGACAAGAAAAATGATAGATGTATCATTTTCCAGGATTCTTTCAAGTACTGGCTGTGTATGTGTAGACTAGACTAGACTAGACTAGACAAAGGTAAATCGCTAGCTTTCATGCTAAGAAATACTGGTTTTTGAGTCAAAAGTTTTTATACGTCGTTTGGTGGCCCCTATTGTTACTTAAGTCAAAGTGTATTTACCAGGATATTCGGGAGAATTATCAATTACGTCTCCTTACGTGCAGCCCATTCATCATTTTAGGACCACCGAAATCATCTTAGCAACAAACAGTTCGATTTATTCACTTTAATAATGAGAAAGCGAAACGACGAAAGTACACTTTTCACCGGTTTCTCAGTGCTGTTACTTAAGGCAAACGGCATCTCCATAGAAATCGGGTGACTTAAGTAACATCGAAAACTATTTTGATCGGAAGGTGATTACGTCAAAAAGCGATTCGACTGGTAAATAAATTTAAAAATGGGATGTGATCCTATATTCGGACAGTATATAGTGTAATAGCAGGAGCATCGATTTACACTGATAGCTCGACTTTGTTTACCTTTGTTACATTCGACGCCCATTTCCGTAATCGCCCATTTACATTCGTAATCGCCCATTTCCGTTCTATCGATCAGAAAAGATCAATAAAATCAATGATTTCACCGTTTACAAATCAAAAATAGGTTTGTGTCGATCCGTTAGTTCATTAGTTACAACATAAATTCTGTTAGAGCGCATTGTATGAATATTTACGCTCATTATTCTCAAAACAAAAGAAGCGCTCCTAGCGAATCCCCTTTTTCTACGTTTATCCGTAGGACGAAGAAAATCTAATGGCGTTTCAATGCGTTTGGACGGAATTGAAACTCGTAGAACGAATTTAGAATCAAGAAGCAGTATTAGATTTTAAACAATATCTCAACAATTTGTGACTCTTCATCAAATCTAACGGTACGTATGGAAAGGTGAATAAATTTAGAAGTCATCTTTGACAGAAATATTCCATTTCAAGAGCCACATGTGAAAAGGGCATACAAGCTTTTTGTAAACAAACCTTTGTAGACCCTTTTCTCGCCAACCTAGGGTAACCCACGCAAACCAGCAACATCATCGGGAAGAGTGTAGTTTCCCCTACCCGGTGATGATGATGGTTTGCGTTGGTGTCATATGGATGGCGTGAAAAGGGCATAAGATGGTTTGTTTACAAAAAGCTTGTATGCCCTTTTCATATGTTGTTCTTGATTTTTAATTAAAACTCGTTCAGAAATGAGAGGTAAAGTGCGTGTTGTGCTTAGTAGGACGGAAATTAGATCAAAAACCCTACGCACTACCACCCCGGCACTTAAAAATATGTTCATATCCGATGTATGATTGACATCGGATCATATCGCCCCCATGCTCCCGATCTCTCCTGATTGTCCTATGAAAACCCTTCCTTGCGCATACGCCACTGCCAGAATGCATTTCTTATCTCTCTCTTTTCTTTTGCCGGTTTTGACAGTAACTGTTCTTCGATATGCACTTTCTCCGTCGCTTCGAGCCATCAGAAGAAAATCAAAAACACAAACAAACAAACATCCCGTGTGGCAGTGTGGTGATGCGACGCGGCAGAACAGAAGATCAATGTAGTGATCTTCGTTCGATTTTTCCGGTTGATCATTCGTGTCCGAGACTTTCGAGTGACAGGACGTTTCGGTCCGATCTTTTCCCCGCGTGCTGTTTGCCAGTCGAGTCAGTATAGTTTTGTGCTTTAGTAGTGAGTGTTGGTTGGGTCTGTGTCTGTCGGTGGGAAATCATTTTGTTTCTCCTCGCGATCCTGGGCGTCGTTCGATTCGATCAAAAAACGAGGTTCCTCTGCAAAGCAAAAGAAGAGACCGTTTGTGTCCTCCCACCGCGTCGCGCCGCGCCGTTTAGTGCGAGTATTATTTTTAGTTCACTTGCATGTTTTTGTCTCCGCGCGTCGAGCGAGCGCCATCCGTCCGTCGTCGTCGTTGTCGTCGTACCGCATAGAACCATCAGATAAGGGTGGTTGTGTGGTGGAGCGGAAGTGGAACTTCGTTTTCGGTGGAAGAGCAAGAGGTGTAGAGCGACGTCCGTCCGCGATACTCTTGTCGGCCAGTGTTGAACAGTAACCAGCCCGCTTCAGTTCTCTGTCAGTCAGCTCAGTGAGTTGTTGTGTGGAATCGGAACCGATAGAAGTCAGGTCACAGTGAAGTGTGTGCGAGTGCGTCCCCGCGGCAGCAGAGTGAAGAGTATTTTGTTCAGTGCTCGCCGTGTCCGGTGTGAAGATTTTCCTCGGTATTTTCTTTCGCCTCTCTGTTCATCTATCCGTGATTACTGAAGAAGGAAGGTTCCACCAACCGAACCCGTAAAAATGTCGAGTAAGTTTTTTTTTTGTATCTTCTACCTGTATATCTCCTTTCGAATTTTGAGTTGCAAGCGGAAATTTTTAATCTCTACGCCCGGCTGGAGTTTTTTTTTTCTTTTTTTGTACACGTTTGTTCGTAGTGAAAAGAATACCAGAGACAAAAGTGACCTCCCGATGACCTTGAAAGCGCTCGACGGGTGGCTGCCAGCAGAGATTAGCGCAAAATTTGCCGTCTGCAATTGAATTATTCTGTGTGTAGGATTTTGAAATGATGCGATTGAATCCCGGTGGCAGTAGATGAATCCACTCGAAAATCGGATGCTATTTTTGTACGCTCCATCCACCCGGATAATTAAAAGATCGAAAATTCGGAAAAGGTCCAATGGAAGACCGGGGTACGATCTGTTGCGATGCATTTTTCTGGCCGGTCGGAATTATGATGGCGGATGGCTCTTGAGCTTATCGTCGTCGTCGTCGTCTCCGGCAATCGATAGCACGAGACACGCTTCTTTCCTCATTCATCCCATTGAGGAGAGCATGATGGCGGGATGGACTAACCTACCGAACACAGAGAGCGATTGTGTAATGCTGGTGCGGTTTGATGCCGGCGTTTGGATTCGGTGGTGCACATGGGGTGGGAGAATGTTGTGTGCATACCTAATGATCCGGGATCGTAGGTAACCCGAAAACATGTGACCACGAAGAAAGCGATAACCGGGGAAATTAGTGCTTAATGCATTAATCAATACAGACGATGTTGCTAAGCCGGGTGGGAATATGGGAGGTTAGAGGGCGAAGTAATCATAATTATGGGGTATGGTGAGTGTGGCGTATGTTGATACCGAGCAGTACTTAACAGTTGCAACCGGTGACCCCTTCTTGAGGGAGAGAAAAGCGTGCCTGAAATGAAGCTATGCAATAACACTCTTGTTATCAACGTGTTAGGTTACGTAAATAATGTTGCCGATAAGAGGATTAATTATAAACCGTTCTTGGGATGTCGCTGTGTCTCGTCCATAGAGAGGACCTTTCCATCCAACGCATGCGACTGGGTTTGAGTGTGTTAATTTCGATAACAATACAAATTTGGTTGCGAATGCCGGAATTGTTTGTATAAACAATTTGTGTTGTCTCTTTGAGGTGACCTCCATTATGACTGATGACGATGGCGTGTTTTACACGTTTGTTGCCGTACGATTGAAGCTGGTACACTGTACCGAATTAACGAATAAATAAATAACGTAATGACCCGATTTTATCAGTCTGGTTTTAGAAAATCTTTTCTAATGTTCTGCGAAACCCAAGCGTTTTTTCGGTGTTTTTATTGCACCTAAGCATACCTTAAAAGTACGTTCAGACTATGGCTGATATCATGTTATATTGGCTATCTTGATATGAAATGTCATATATAAATTTTCGGTGAAAATTTGTCCTATAGTCTGAACGTACGTACAGTGCCTTCTCGATTTTGTCAGCCTGCAGATTTCGCTAAACTTTTCCGTTTTTAAACATGAATTCTCAAACTTTTCACTTTGAATTATTTTTATTCTTTTGTTCCCTCCCCTTGGCTAGTTTTTAACCAGGATGTTGGTGGGCGGACCTAATCTTATGCTTCATAGTGGAGCGTTGGAGACGGTTGGTTTAGGACCGGCATCGTTGGCTCATGCCGTGGCAGAATAGCGTCATGAGCATGCGATGAGGATTACTGAGCTTCCCCTCTCTGATGAACCACTGCATGAGAAAACCAAAGATCTAGTCTAGCAGTGATAGTATCACACTTGTTACTCCTTTTTTTAAGAGCCGCGTCGTAGTACGCTTACGTATAGGCACTGACGTTGGGTGCGATACTGGCGGGGTTTTCCGCAAATCACTCTTATTTTATCGATTTTTACACAGATAGATTTATATGGGTTTGCATGGGAATTATTCTATTGAAACATTTCAATAGTGCTCCTTCTACTTGCGTGACAAGCTTTCATTGTTGTTTTCATTAAAGCATTTCTCAGGGAACAATGTTGAACACCATTTTTGTACATAGATTTGTAACTAATCTTATATGTGCTTCATTTTGATTTGGGATAAGTGTTTGAACTATGGCTCGGGATTTCCACTGTGGCGTGCTTCTATTGTGACATACCCATACGTATTTTTGTGGTGCGACATAGTGGAAGCGTGTGAGCATAGTTGGAGCATATACCCTATATAATTTAAAAATCAGCTAGGAAACTAACTTCAAAATGAAGCATTTTAGTCACAGAAGGTGTTACCTGGGTCGAACTAAGATATAATAAATAGGTATAGGCCAAAATCAAAAGTACTTGAAACACGTTTAATTTTAGATTACATGCACAAGTTTATTTGCTTATTTGGTTCAAGATCAACAGACTGGGTTTAGTCCTAATGATGGAAATACAATATAGTCAAGAAGTAACATGCTGCAAACGCCGTGAAGTCCAACTCAATTCCTAATTCTTAAAAATATAAGTGAAAATCAAATAAGGAAGCAACACGATTGAAAACCCTTTGTAGCCCATTGATAGCACCATACGAACTATAGTTTGTACGACGAAAAGGTATCCTCAGCATTGCGTTGTTACGGAGTGCTCGTGGTTGAACGTTAACGTCGATTTGTTGTAGAATACAAGGACAATCGATTCCGCCCTGTAGAATTGTCGTATCTCTTCGACTCCACAAAGGATCCAGGTGAATTAACTGGCACCGACTTTCGTAGCTTGGAAGGCGATGAGGATCCCTCCAAGGCAATCGTCGAAGGGCAAACCAGATGAATCGTCGTTGAATAGACTCTACTCTTTGTACACTGTTTTGGTAATTGGAATTCCATACAGGGCAGCAGTATTCTAACACAACAAATGAAGCCGAGCGTTCTGGATGCCTTGTCGATCACGTACGAGATATGCTGGCTGTATGTGAGTTGACAATCTAAGATGACTCCCAGATCCTTAATGTGATTCACACGATGTACGTCAACGTCTTCTAGGATATAACTGAATGTAATTGGATGTTTCTTCCGTGAGAACGTGGTTACTGAACATTTTGTTGGATTTACAACCATGCGGTTCAGTTGGCACCAATTAGCAAAAGCGTTGAGTTGGAGTTGGAGATGGTGGCAGTCAGCGATGGCTCGGACTCGGAGATAGATTTTCATGTCGTCTGCGAACGACAGTCGTGGACCGTCGCGGACGAAATTGAAATCAACGGGCCGAGGTGGCTACCTTGCGGAATACCCGAAGTGGCAGGGAACGAAGGAGATCGGCAGTCGTCGATTGCAACGTCCAACTGACGATCAGATCGATAGGATGCGAACCATCGTAGGAGACTGCCGTTTATACCGAGCCTATCCAGTTTGGCGATCGCTATAGGATGGTTCAACTAGACGAAGGCGGCTTATAGGTCAGTGTAGATGACATCTGTTTGCATATGGTCTGTCATACTCTCCGTAATGTACGAGGTGAGACACAGAAGGTTGGAAGTAGTCGACCGCCCTGCCATGAAACCATGCTGGTCTTCGCTCAAGTGCTGCTTCAAGTGAGAGACCAATTGTTCCATATCGACCAACTCGAACAGTTTTGATATGGCACACACCGATGTGATGCCGCGATAGTTGTCGATGTTTCTTTTGCATCCCTTCTTATGCACTGGAAACATCTCAGGTCCGTCAGGTCCAGGCTTAAATGAAGACTTCAGCTGCGAAGCCGCCCTAGTTATCATAGCGGGGTCGATGTTGATAGCTGCCAAAGATTGACCAGACATTGGAACATTACTGGCTGCTAGAGAAACGTGCTCGTCAGGTAGGTATTCATTCCAGAATACCCTCGCAAACTTGGTTGAGAACAGACGGCAAATGTCCTGAGGGGGTGAAGCTTCTTCACCGTTCAGTACCATAGTCGATGGAAGGCCAGACTCCTTTCGTTGCTCATTCACATAATTCCAAAAAGTTGTCGGATGAGATCGAAGCTTCCGTTGAACATCTCGCTGATAACGCCGATAACATTGGCGACTGGTTCGTTGATACGCATGATTAATCCTCGCATAATGGTCCTTGAGTTGTAGGGTGCACTTTCTTAGCGCGGCTCTTTTGGAAGACTTTAACATACGGAGTTCACTTGTTTGTCAAGGATGATGATTACCTTGCTTAGGAACTTTTTTTCGGAACGTGTCGCTCAATGACGTAAGCCAAAATATGCGAGAGCGTTTGGGCAGCTGCATTGACATCGGCAGGGACTAGTATCCTGTGCCAGTCCAAATTCGAAAGAAGTTCCCGATACTGTCGTGGTCAGCATTTCGGAAATGACCTCTGGAATTTGGTTGCCTTCAAGTGCAATACGTAAAGGAGGATGGTGTGGAATAGTCTTTAGCAACGGAGAAACAGTCAAAGACAAATGCGGAGCAGTATCGTGAGCGGTGACGAAGAAAAGGTCTTAGCTACGATTGTTCTAATTAACCACGGGCTTGATTTGCTTCAGATTGGCGATACTGTAGTGATCCAAAAGGCTTACAGCTCCAAGAGTGAAATGTAGAACGGTCGTGGTCCGGATACAGGAATCCACCGTAAGATGATTGCCAAGAAATTGCCGGTAGATTTAAGTGGCCAATGATTATCATCTCGTCGGCAGCTGTAGCGATCTCCATTATAGCTCGAATAGACTAACTGTGGGATTCAATTAGCGTAGACTCGCGAGCTCGATGCGAAGGAAAGTAAACTACACACAAAAACAAAGTGCGGTCAGCGAGCTTAATGGCAATCCAAACTTGTTCCACACAATTCCTATGAGAATGCCTCCACCAGTAGATTTGCGGCTGTTGTGCGGATTCCGATCATCGCATCGAAAAACCTCATATTCGGAATCAAACACTTGATTTGACAATGTGCGAGTATTGAGCCAAGTCTCAGTGAGAGCGATGACGTCGAAGCAACGATCCGAAACCGCTAAGCGATAATCATCGATGTTGGAATTCAACCCACCAGCGTTCTGCAGATGGCCTGACTGTGAC